AGAGGAAAAAGAAGTAAAGTCAGTGGTGGGTTGCCCCTGGTTCAGACCGGTTCGCAAGAACCAGTAATAAAACCGGTGGGAGGCTCCACCCACTGACCCGGATGTCATCAAAGTAGAACTGCGCATGCGCGCGGGCACAATGCGAACCAGTAGGAAAGGTAAGTAGAACCCACCCCTGGGTAAAGTATAAAACAGCATTTGCTGAAACAGAATTCCATTTAAGGTCCTGAATGATTTAGGGCCTCCAGATTTTCTGGGCACCTGTTTTCCAATATGCAACTGCCAAGACATTAAAACTGCAGAGGGGCAGAATGCAGGAGAGGATTTTTTATTTTTTTACTGTGGTATTCCAACCCTGGTGCCTGTGTTGTCTGTTCTTCAGTGCCAGGTGAAGAATTGGCTTTCCACATTTGTATTTGGGACTTATTCATCAACGATCGTTATTGTCCCTATTGTGGCTATTGCTGTTGCAACTATTTAAAGTTCTGTTGAATTTTATTTTATCCTATTCTTTTGTGCATTTGTGCAGTGTAATCCATCCTGAGATCTCTAAACTAGTAGCGGGCTATAACTTATTGTAATAACTAAATTTTAATTCAAGAGCTGGACCAAGATCAAAGGATCCGATTTATTGTAAACTCTGGCATTTCCCCTTAGGTGAGAGTCTGTTGGCTGGCTTAATGACACCATGACTGGTCAGCATTCAGCTCAATACATGGCTTAGGGCCGGGGTACTTACGAGACCGCCTTCTGCCACCAATAGCCTCCCACCGGCCAGTACGCTCGCACAGAGTGGGCCTCCTCAGGGTGCCGTCCGCCAGACAATGTCGGCTGGCGACCCCCAGGGGGAGAGCCTTCTCTGTGGCGGCGCCCACCCTCTGGAACAACCTCCCCCCAGAGATACGCACAATAACAGACCTCCAGATTTTTCATCGGGCCCTGAAAACCTATTTATTTCAACTAGCTGGGCTGGCTTGAGTTAAATTTTAAATTGATTTTAAATTGGGTTGTTTTAATTTACGGCCAAAATATTTAATTATTTTAAACTGTTTTTAGATTTTGTATGTTCTGTTTTTCTACTTTGGCTGTTCACCGCCCTGGGTCCTATTTGGAGAAGGGCGGTATAGAAATGGAAACAAATAAAATAAAATAAATAAATACTTGTATGTATTCCCCTTCCTCCAGCTTTCCTCATTTTGGAAAATCCGCTTTTGTCTTAGAAATTTAACCATCTTCCTCTCTCTTAAATGGTGCTTCTCTGTTTTTCACAAAAGGGTTCTCTGTGAAGTTTTTCTACGTGAATGTTTTCTTGCCACTCCCCTATCCCTGCCAGTTTTTATGCCAATCCTTGCCAGGTAATTTCCATCCAGCACCAAGTTTCACATACTCAATGATCATTGAATCACACATCCCTCCAACCCTTTCCCAAATCAGAGATCTACTTTAAAACAACTGGCAAAGTCCACCTATCTGAATGCTAAGACCCATTCAGCTCCCAAGGCCTCTCTCAGGTTTAGGGTATAGAACTATTAGATGGATAGTGGAGAAGATTAAGCTCTAGCATGTTATTTTCTTGTGTTTCAGTGAAGTGTGAGGAGGTTCACATCAACTCCAGGACTTCTCCTGCTCAGATGTATGGCAGGGACAACCATTGGATGGACAACTGAGCTACTAGATGTGGTGGTGTCCACCACCCATTGAAATATATAGTGATGGTGGTTCAAAGGTAGCAATTAAGGTGTAGGTACTCCAGAATTAATCAAATTGTTAACAAATCTTGGATTGCTCATTTGCATGAACTTTCTTGCCTGGCACTTCTGACTACAAGCTGAGTGATTTGCTAAGGAGTGATTCATAGGCTAGGAGCTTTCCCCACCAAGTTGTTCAATCCATGTTTGCTCATCACATGGATCAGCAAAGGGAAGTAACTCAGTCTTGATCAATGATTCTCACTTAGGATTCAACATAAAGTAGAGCACCTTCTTACAAGGCTGCATTCTTGAGAAAAGAGCAAGTGTTAAACTCCCAGCCCAACCCCTAAACAGGATCAGGCAGGGGTGGGCTGCTGGGGGTTTGCAGGGGTTCAGGAGAAACTCTAGCTAAGTTTCTATGCAGTTCGGAGAACCCCCAAATCCCATTCCTGGCTGGCCCTGCCCACCCTACCCCATGCCTCCCAGGAGTCCCCACACAGCCCATTTTGGATGCAGGTAAGTGCAGGGCGTGAGGGGAGGCTCAGAGAGGGCAAAAATCGGGCCTACCAGAAGTTCGGGAAGTTCGGGAAGAGGGCCTCCAGAGCCTGGGGAGGCCATTTTTGTCCCCCTGGAGGCTCAAGGAAAGCCTCTTGAGCCTGGGGAGGGAAAAAACGCCCCCCCACCATGTTGCAGGAGGCTGACTAGGCCACACCCACCATGGCCACACCCACCCAGCAACCGGGCAGAGAACCCTTTGCTAAAATTTTTGAAGCCCACCCCTGGGATCAGGTAATGGAGAATTTTAAGAAGAACCAAGTTTCACTGACTTTAAGTCAAAGCCATTTGACTGGCTCTTCAAATTTTGGGACCTAAATCTCCCCTCAGGAAGATGCCAGATTGAGGAAACTACATGTACTCATCATTTCTGCATTCCTCTCCTTTTCTCAAGAATCTGCTAACAAGATTGCCAGGCAGATTGCTGGGAGAAATATCTTTTCAACCAAAGACTTTCGATATTAACCATTCTGGGTGTGTCCACCCACCACTTTGAACATGGCACTGTCATTCCTAGAGTATTCAAAACTCCGATCTATTGCAGGCTGGCACAAAACAAGAGGAAGTGGTAAAGATGGGTGGTTTGCTCAAGCCTGGGAAGGCATTTACTCTGGTACTCTTGCTGGCACTAAATGACACACCAGTGCTGTGGGGGTGGATGTTTAGCAAACAGGGCTTTTACAGCTGTGGCTAAGCTATCTGTTGAATCTCCTCCTACGACAGGCCTAAAGGCAGATCCTCTAACCCACCAAGCCCAGTGTAGACCACTGGCTACCCGTGGTACCCTGCTGTATGCTAGATAATCTTGTTGTTTCTATAATGTCATAAAAGCAGCAAAGAACAGGATGTTCATCAGCCACTGAGTAGTACAGCCTAGAGCAGGGGTCGGCAACCTTAAACACTCAAAGAGCCACAAAAGTCCTAACCGGAAGCTCCCCGTTCAATTCTGGAGAGACCAGAAGTCCGGTTCCCCCACCATAGAGTCTCCTCCTAGCGTGGCTTCCTTCTTCCTCTACCTCTCCTAACTGAAAGCCCTATCAATTATGGAGCTGACCAGAAAACCTACCCCTTGCTAGAGAGTCTCTTCCTGGTGTGCCGTGTTTTTCCTCCCCATAACCAGAAACTCCTCTCAAAATTGTGGCAGTGACAGGGAGCCATAGCAGAGGGATGAAAGAACCATACATGGCTCCAGAGCCGCCTAGACTCCTGGCCTAGAGATTCTGTAAAGAAAAGGCTGTACACCAACCGAAATAAAATGGGGCACTAATACTACCATTGCTATTGCATGCCCACGGGGGTGGGAAGGGATCTTGGTCAAGAACCTGGTTTGGGGGAAGAGAGGTTTTCATTCTTTCTGTATTCTCAGCATGTCTCTAATCCAGATTTGCTTCCTATGGCTGCAGTTAATACAGTGGTGGGTTGCTACCAGTTTGCCCTGGATCCAGTGAACCGGTAGCGGTGGCGGGAGGCTCCACCCACCCACCCGGATGTCTCTGCGCATGCGCAGAAGCATTGCTCATGCGCAGAAGCATCCACAAGTGAACAACGGGATTTGAAACCCACTACTGAGTTAATACGGTAGCAGTAACATTGCACCTTCTGACATTTTTCTTGAATGATGAGCAGTAGACCAGGGTGGTTTTCCAATGCCTAACTATTCTACAACAGTATAAAAATAAATCCTCCATCCTGAGGCATTACTATCGAAATGCACAAATTATAATAATCAGGAATGCAGTAATGAATTTGGAAGCGTGTGCGCTTCCAAACTGGTAAGGAAGGTAAGTAGATTTCACCCCTGGTATCTAAGATTGGATTAAAATAATTTTTTTAAAAAAGCACCCCAAGCAACAAAAGTAAAAACATGAAGTCAATCCTATTCAGATCAACAACCCTAAACACAGGCTCACCTAGCACTCTGGCCTAATGCCCAAGGGAAAAAGAAATCTAGTTGTTCTCAAGGAATGGAGTTTTCCTGATGGAATTGGCCAGCAGTGCATTCCAGCTGTTGACCAAATCTGGTAATTCTCACAACACTGCCTTATACTCTAGGACAGGGTGACAAACTGGCGGCCCGTGGCCCGGATGGGTCACGTGGAGGCTACACCCAACCCAGCTCCGCAAAGAGGGAAAACATTGTGAAATATCACATGATGGCAACGTGACACCGCAAGTTTGACACCCGTGCTCTAGGATATCAAACCATATGGTAGGGCTGCATTAATATCATCCTTCTCATCTTTCCTATTATCTATTCCTGTAGCACCTTATTTATTTATTTGTTTGTTTGTTTATTTATTTATTTATTTATTGGTTCGATTTATATGCCGCCCTTCTCCGGAGACTCAGGGCGGCTTACAATGTGTTAAGCAATAGCCTTCATACTTTTGTATATACCTGCTTAGTAGGGCTTTCAGCCCCCCCCTAAGCGGTGTTCTTTTTTATACAAAGTCAGGTTATTGCCCCCACAATCCTGGTCCTCATTTTACCGACCTCGGAAGGATGGAAGGCTGAGTCAACCTTGAGCCTGGTGAGATTTTGACTATCACTTTGCTGTTTATACCTTATGATTTATGATGATTGTTTTTATTTAGTATCTTATGACTGTATCTTATGATTTATGATGATTGTATGATGATGATTTATCATTTGTTGCTTGTATGTATATTGAGAACCGATGCACCGGAGATAAATTCCTTGTGTGTCCAATCACACTTTGCCAATAAAGAATTCTCTTCTGTTCTGTTCTAATAGCAATGCTCAGCTACAATACTCTTCATTCAAAGCAAGATTTGTGAAGAAGTTATATAACATCGTTATAAACAGCAAGGCATGATCTGATTAAAGCGAAAAAGAAAATTGGAATGATCTTAATAGGCGTAGTTCATCAAGATGACCAGGGAGCCAAAGAAAACATAAAATGTAGTAAATAATAATTCCCACCATTTTTTTTTATTACAGTGAAAATTAAAAAGTCAAAAGTATCATTTACAACAGAAATACTATTATGAAGGATGCAAGTACTATATGTAATTCTCAACAGAGATAGGAAAAAAGTGATAACAATCTTTACACTTGGTTTCGTATATGTACCAAACAATCACTATTTTTATTATGGGTATTGTGTTTTAAAATATTATTAAACCTCAGATGGTGACTTAATAAGCGGAGGAGTTTTAAAAAGAATGATATTCAAAACTGGATGACTGAATAAATATAAACCATACGATTGAGGGAACTAGGTATGTCTAATCTAACAAAGAGAAGGACTAGGGGTAATAAGATAGCAGTTTTCCAATACTTGAGGACAGTGGTGAAATTTAAAATTTGTTACTACCGGTTCTGTGGGTGTGGCTTGGTGGGGGGTAATGTGACTAGGTGGGTGTGGCCAACTTTTTTTTTTAACTTTTAAAACCATTTTTTCTACCTCTTCCACCGAAGAGGTTGTAAAAAAAATGCTTTTAAAACCTTCTGACGATCCCAGCTGAGCTGTGCGATCGTCAGAGGCTTTTTTTTTAAAAGCATTTTTGCTACAACCTCTTCGGCCGAAAAAATGCTTTTAAAATTTTTTTAAAAAGCCTCTGATGATTGCACAGCTCAGCTGGGCATGCGGGGGGGGGGGCTGGGCATGAGGGTGCAGGGATTTTTGCTACCGGTTCTCCGAACCACCCGCTGCCATCACTACAGGATCAGGCCATCCGGTCCAAACCGGGAGCATTTCACCCCTGCTTGATGAGCTGTCAAGAGAAGAGTGGGGTCAACTTAATGGTATTCTCCAAAGCACCTGAGAGCCAGACAAGAAGATCATTAAAGGGAGATCCAACCTAGAACTAAGGAGAAATTTCCTGACAGTGAGAACAATTAATCAGTGGCTTATCTTTGGAAGTTGTGAGTAGTCCATCACTGGGACACTGGAGGTTTTCAAGAAGAGACTGAATAGCCCAGGGATCTCCAACCTTGGCAATTTTAAGACTTATGGACTTCAATTCCCAGAGTTCGTCAGCCAGTTTTGCTGGCTGAGGAACTCTTGGAGTTGAAGTCCACAAGTCTTAAAGTTGCCAAGGTTGGAGATCCCTGGAATAGCCATTTGTCTGGAATGGTAGGCACTAGAGCAGTAGTGGGTTTCATTTACCTTCACTACCAGTTCGGAACTGTGAGCGCGCATGGGCAGAATCTTCTGCGCATGTGCAGAGCATCCGTGATGACTCCAGGCGGCTGGGCGGAGCCTCCTGCTGCTGCCGCTACCAGTTCGCCCGAACCAGGGCAAACTGGTAGAAACCCACCACTGCCCTAGAGCAGTGATGGCTAACCTTTTTGCCATCATGTGCTGGGGGGGGTCATGCGTGTGCGCATGCCCATACCCATAATTATATGCTCCCCATCCCCGCACATGCAACCCTGGGACCGGAAGTTGACAAACAGGCCATTTTCGGCCTCCAGGATGTGGGGGGGAAGCCGTTTTCGCCCTCCCCAGACTCCTAGAAAGGCTCTGGAGGCTGGGGAGAGCAAAAAACGGACCTTCCCCAGCACACACACACACCCGAGGTCCTCCGGAGGCAGGAAACAGCCTGTTTCCCTACTTCTGGTGGGCCCAGAAGGCCCAAAAATCAGCTGGCCGGTGTGTCCATGTGCGCCGGAGCTGAGCTCGCATGCCCACCGATATGCCATAGGTTTGCCATCACAGCCCTAGAATCTCCTGCTTGAGCAGGGGGTTGGATAAGAAGACCTCTATGGTGCCTTCCAACTCTATTATTCTATAGTCAAGGTTCTAATAAGAGCAAGATTAAAATATTTCTTCCTTAAATTTCCAAGTAGATGTCAGAAATATTACACAGAGGAAACATTATTGTTGGGCTGGATCCAAAATGTGATCCCACAGAGGACTTCTTTCATCCCCCAAAAGTTTCTGATCCTGCAAAATGTCTTACTAATGGAATGGAGGGTACTGTGCTGATGTCCCCTTCCGGCAGCCCCTTATATACCTGAAAAATCTGCCTAGAAAATTAGAAAATTGTCAAAACTGTACAGGAAGGTGAAACGGGTAAAACTGCTTTGCTTTCCTTCTTTCTATCTGTAAAAGCATTTTGAGCAAACTCTGATCAAAGTATGCTGCCACTGACGAAAGTATTCAGATCTCTTCCAACATATTCATTGCTATAAACTACAAATGTTGTAATGGAAGACTGTAGAAAGTGGCCATTGGAGTTGCTGGTGTATTACTCCTAGTAGCTAAAACAAGCATAGTGATTGATGCTGGATGCTGGAATATGCAGTTCAGCAACACCTGGATAGTTACAAGTCTTCCAACCTTATTATAATTCATGTAAAGAAAGAATTTAAAAACATGAAAATACCATCCACAAGGTACTGAAGATATCAAGAGCTCAATAGCAGAAAGTATACTTCCTTTTCTTCCAAATATGCTTTCTAATAGTGTTGTTTTTAAAAATATAAGGTGTAATTTATTGGTTCTTAGTCTAGAGTTGGGGTGTCAAACTCTCAGCCCGTGGGCCAGATGCGTCACATGCTAGCCCTGGCCCCGCCCAGTTTAGTGAAGCGGGGAAAAGTCCCAATATGTCACGTGGCACCGCTGTGACGACATGAGTTTGACACCCCTGCCCTACAGCGTATTAGATTGTGTTTGAATTTTTTCTTTTGATATCAGAGAACGCCAAGCACAGGAGAGGAAATCTAATATAAGATACTCCTTCCAATAATTCCCTTCAGAAACTATCAAAGTCAGATCATTTTGGCTTTAGCGGAATCGTTGAATACGTTGGATTTTTTTTGAAGCTCAATCAAGTGAGGGTCCTTCATGCTTATTCTGGTAAACAAAACAAACAAACAAAAATCAACCACACACCTCAGATATGCCTGTGTTAACATGCCACAAGACTTTGGCTGAAATCTAAGAAAATCTCTTTAGATAATAGGTTCTCAGCCTTCTCCTTTTTTCTTAGTGCTCTGTTTGATCAGATACTCCAAGGGTTCCCAACCAGGGGTGAAATCCAGCAGGTTCTGGAGAACCGGTAGCGGAAATTTTGAGTAGTTCGGAGAGCCAGCAAATACCACCTCTGGCTGGCCCCAAAGTGGGGTGGGAATGGAGATTTTGCAGTATTCTTCCCACCAAGCCACGCCTACAGAATCGGTAGTAAAAAAAATTGGATTTCACCACTGTTCCCAACCCCCAATCCATGGACCGGCATCGGGCTGTGGCATGCCAGCAACCAGACCGCACAAATAAGGTAAGTCCAATTTGTGGGATGCAAGTAACATGCAAACCACACCCCCTCTGGTCCACAGAACAACCTCTTTACACGGAACCAGTCCCAAAAAGTTGGGGGCCGCTGAGATACTCCATTCTTCTTTTAAATGTTGATTTGTCATCTTTCCTTTAAAGGAAAAGCTCACTATGATTAAGGAGTGGTAAAACAGATTAGAATTATGCAATATTCTGTTCTGTCCCTCCGCTGGTTCCAACCTGAACCACAAAGGCAGCATTATGCACCCAGAATTTGCAAACACCCATCGGAGGAAGTTTCAACTAGAACCCAATGCAATAATATAATGTGGGTGGCCAGATGTGTGGGAGAGGGCCAGATAACCATTCAGCATCTACTAACCTAAGCTGTAGGAAAGTGCTTGTAGTCACCACAAAAGCCAATGTTTAAAAAAATGATACAAGCAGTGACAATAATTGGAAACTGAAAAAACTAGCTATGCTGGAAGAAGGAAATAGGTAAGTGCTGAATACACTACTGCTTTTGCTATATCAGAGTAATAAACCGATTCCTCTCTATCTTTGCATGGAATGTTTGTGTGGCTTTGTGGCTCCACGCAAAAGCACATCAGGAAGACTCCAAGATCCTACCCTGTATCTTGTACTTCTCTCATAAGCATGTTGGATGTATCCCCATATCTGCTCCAGAGATTTCTAATCTTCTAGAGGAGTTTTAGGGGTAAAATGAGATCTATAGAAGGGTAGGAAATCTGTTCTACTGAATATAGTCTAAACCATACATTTATCAACAGGAAAAGCTGACGTAGATATAGACTCTTTTTTTCTTCTTTTTTCTAACTACAAATTACAGTAATTCATCTACTGGCAACACTGCCAGGGAGTTTTCAGAAAATTAAATCTTACGTCTTCATCTGAAAAGCAGACTCATGATGGAAAACAGTAAGGTGGAAGAATGGTCCTTGGTAGTACGGCCTAGTTTCAAAACCTACATTTCATACCTAGAGGAATTTACTAAATACACATGATTTTGCTTTCTTTATTTGATTTATTTGATTTATATACCGCCCTACTCCCGAAGGACTCAGATCAGGTATTGATTCTGCCTGACACCGCCTTATGCTGCAATGAGGAGGCGTTTTTTTTTGTTTTTTGTTTTAAATTGTTCTCGTTGCTTTGAATAAAAACCTTTTATTTCTGCCACCAATTGTGTGGAGTTGGTGGGAAGGTTTCTTAGGATCGCAAGACAAGGAGAAACCGGTGGGACAGCCTCCATAGAAAGAATGCTATAAAATCACACACACATACTTTTTAAATCTCTTCATATAGCTGGAAACTGTGTCTTGGGTGTCAGAGGAATAGAAGTACTTCAGTCTAAATCAAAACAAAATATATCAACGTAAATGACATAGGTTTCAAGATGCTAGAAATGTCTTCCTTGCTTTTTCTGCGAAAACCTTTAAAAAACGCTTAAGCAAAATTATGGAGTTTCCAGACCACAGGCCTGCGGTTACAAAACAAAATTCTGGCTCCACTCTAGTTCTACCCAAATAAGTTCCCTGTCTTGGTGGCTGGGAATCCCAACCCACCAGTTCTTATTCTTTCTCTCCCTTACCCTTCTAAAGCAATGCTGCTCAAAGATGTGATTTCAAGAACCTCCCTTCCCTACCCCTGCAGGATGCGGTCTGGTAGGATTTC